GCTAGCCCTCAGGTGTGGAGTGTGTTTTCTAATGGAAGCCAATTGCTTAGTACTTAAAAACGGGTTTTTAACAGGGAGGTACAGCAGATGCCCACCTTTCAGGTGACTGTAACTTACTGGTAGCTTTAATTGAAGACGTTAGAAGCGTTAAAAACACTTTAGTGGAACAGAAAATTCTTTCAGTGTTTTCAAGAGTAGTGGCGATTTTTTCCTGTTCGGGGGGCTGTGGTTTTTTTTCTGGTTTGTTTTTTAGGGATCTGGATCAAAATGACAGCGGGAATTGCATGCGGACGTCTCGCATCCTAAATGCAGTTTACAGTCACGGTGAAATGTGAACCAGAACAAGGCTACCTGCTTGCAAAACCTTTGTCCAGCCATCAGTTTTGTATTTATAACCAACAATTAACTGTTTAGAGTGATGCAACCACCTTGTATAAATGCTCGCGAGCAACAGCTAAGCCGTTTCTGTTGAAGAGGAAGCCCTGGCCATTCAGGCAGCAGCCGGACCCAAGGGTGCTGCTGCTTCCCTCCTGCGCTGTGGCACAGGCATCGGCAGGGGAAGAACCCCGTGGCCTCTGACAGTTTCCCAGAAGCTTAAATTTGCTGGATATAGAAGTGTTTTGCCAGGACTACGCCCTGCACTTTGTCATAAGGAAGCACAGACAGGGGTCAAAAATTGGGATGTGAGAAAAAACAAGAAATGCGATTGAGCAAGTGAACCTTTTGCTCTTTTAGGTTAGGAATTGGCCCCAGCTCCAGAAGACAAGGAACACGGGTCACCTGCCAGTGTAGCAGGGGGAAGTGAAAGAGGTAGGATATTAAACTTGCGGTAAAAAGAGAGTAGTTAGAAAGAGAGTGGGACCTGCAGGGAAAATACCTGCAGACGTTTGCTTTCAGCTCCAACTGAAGCAGGACGCTCAGTCGAACAGGCTGGAACAGATCCCCTCCTGTTCACTGGCCACCGTTTAATGCACTTCTGTTGCGTTTCTCCCTCCACGCTGGACCGCAGCCCTCCTGCACGCTTCGCCATGAGCAGCGGGGTGTCTCGGCGAGGTGACATGCCACCAATGTGCCCCCAGCACAGCAGCAGGATTGACCCCACGCTCCCACGGCAGCGCTGCCGAGATGCAGGAGGGCCCCCCTGGCCCCCAGACAAGGAAAGACTGACACCTCAGGAGTGCAAAGTTAACATTTTATTGAGCTTAATGGATGTAGAACAGAGGGGCAACAATGGCTCAAGTGTTTATTAACAAAACGCCCCAAGATGTTTCACGTACAGAGTCATAGTACAGTTTGTATGGAAACAATTGAAAAAGTTGTAAAATACTCTCAAAGTCGGAAAGGGGGATTCACAGCTCTGTTTTAAGCCTTTGTGTTCCCAAATATTGTCCTCCCTTGACCAATTTCGTATCCTACCCCAAAAGAAGGTTATGGAATTGATGGTCACATCCCTCCTCCTCAGGTACAGAAACAAATGACAGCAAACTTATGAAAAGAACTATACTTCAAAGTTGCCACAGGCCTGTGCATGAATCAACATCTACGTATCTAGACAGACTGGTTGTAACACTATTATTTGGGAAAAAAAAAAAACAAACAAAGGAGCAAAGTTACAATACCAACACTGTAAACCAATTTCTGCTGAAAACCCGTTGGAAGTAAATTCCCTCCAACACTTGTCTACATGTTTTACAAAACTCTTCCATGCAAAACATTTGAGTATTACTTGTTTGGGGTTTTTCTTGGATAACTGACAAGGTGAACTAAAGACTTAAAAGCAGTCAAGTGAGCTTGCCCCAAGTGACAGTTCAGAGCATACCTACAATTAAAAAAAATAATAAATTACTTTGGGCACAGTTTTTCTTTCTCAAACCCCAGTAAGATTGGAAACCAATCCTCTTAACGTATGCTCTTTTCAGCCAACTGGAAAGGGCTATTGCCTCCCTTTCAACCACATTTTTAAAAAAACAAAACAAAACAAAAAACTGTAGTGAGATTCACAGTTTCCACGACAGAGAGGTGCACAGTTGCCCCTTCTCTACATCAGTCATTTTCTTCAGATCTGTAGTAGTGTAACCCCAGCCACGATCCCCAGCCATGATCCCCATCCATGATGCCATCACAGGCAATGTTTGTTTCTCGGAGTGAGCAGGCCAGTTTTACAGGAAAGGCAATCATATAGACAGAGGCCCCACTTCAATGGGCTCTCAACATTTGCTGAACAGGAATGCTAGCTCCAGGGAAACAAGAGATATGTAGATTTACAGCACTATTTTGCAACATATAGGCTGTTGGGTATACTTGCAAGGCTTCAGAAATGCTCAATGCAAATGGGCAAAACCTTCACTTAAGGCCTTTACAGTAGCTTGTCAGGTCTGATGATGATATGCAGTGCTGGACCTCTGAAGTAGCACTAACCTCCAACACATACACAGTCTGTAAACCAGAAGATGCACACAAATACAATGGTAAAAGCTGGGCATAAAAAAAAAAAAATTAACTGCACTGGGTCTCAGTTATACAGTGGTAGCACGATGAATGATCGCAACTCATCAAGACAGTTGTAGAAGCATCATGTGCCCCAAGGTGGCAGTTCATGTCAGATCCAGGCACAGAGTTTAGATAAGAAGAACAGAGATGCCAAAAAGGGTCCCAACACCAGGAACTTCACGTTATTCCAGTCTGAACAGTCACTCTGTTTCTAGGTTGACAGCCAACCACCCAGTTCAGCTGCAGCAGAACTGTGGTGAATTTAATAGGCCCTGCATTGATACCTGGGCATTACTGTGTGTGCATGCTCGGGACCGAATTGGGCCATTAAACCCAGATGAATGCAGCTCTTAATGGGAAGCCAGAAGTCTTCTCTTCATTTTGCCATTTAAAATGTGCAGCTGAAAACAATTGTACTAATCCAAGGGACTCAAAGTCAACCTGGTCTCAAGTAGGTCACACAAATATCACTGTCATGCAACAGGAAGGGATGCATCTTGCTTACTATTCCATTAATGTCTTTGAACTGACAAATTTAAGGCAGAAATTCTATTGCTCCCATTTACCTGAATGCATGTTTTCTGGCAATCAAGCATCTTCTGGTTTACAGTGATATACAACAGTTCTTTTTTTCTGATGCTGGAGATGAAGTCTATTAGCAATACTACCAAAATTTTGGCAATAATTCCAAAATCAGATTTGTAAACATAATGCTTCCCTTTTCAGTTGGCAGCATTTTGAAAAGACAAACACAGTAAGACACACAAAGATTTTGCTCAATTTTGACCAAGTAACCTGTGTTTTCACATGATAAAGTACACAATGGTTTACATCAAACTAAACCAAAAAACTGCATGAAATGAAAGTTTGTGCTGTTTAGTGATCACAGTATTTTATAGTTAAATACATCTGTTCTTTGTTATATTCCTGGCACCCAGGACATAAATCTTTAAATATATAATTCATGTAGGCAATAGCTTCTTTGCATATCTCTCTTCAAAAAATACTTTATAGTATATAAATAGGTAACCTACATGTTTAATTTATAATCTTGACCCAAAACTATATATCTGTTTCTTTTTTTTAAGGTATCAATTTCCCCAATATTATTAAAGCTGACAAACTATTGAAATGGAAATGCTCTCATCTTCCACAATAGAAGTAGCAATTTTGTAGGAAAAACCTACAGCAACACTTGTCAGTTGTTTTAACCTGAGCATTTGGCCTACTTAGAGTAGCAGCTTTTTTTTTTTTCTCCCATCACACATGCTCACACCCACACATCCTTGCACACACACAGTACAAGCACACACTTCCAGACACTGGTAGGCCACGTAGTGCTTCCCAGGTGCTTCAGTAAAGTAGGAAGCAGTGTAGCTAATAACTTAACTACACTAAACACACACAAGCAAACACCTTAAGGCAACCACTGCAATGGGGGGTTTAAGTTGCAGGGGTGAGTTTCTGTTGTAACAAAACAGGCTGTATACAGCACATATACATGCCTCTTTAACCCTCCAAAACAATGTGATTTTTTTTTGTTTGTTTTGTGCAAATTTCTAAACTTTCTACCATTTAAGGCAAACAGTTTGCATTAACAAGAAAGGTCAGAAAACAGCCTTATATTTATCCAAAAGCATTTTGCTACAATATTTTCTTTAAATGTGCACAACTTCATAGTAGAGGTACTGGGTCCCCAGCATCTATCAATAAAATCATTTCAATGGACAAACATAAGTCTTGAAGAAAAGAAAGGACCAGAAAAAGCAGCTTCAAATATGCATATAAGCAACATCAACAACAGAAGTAGTTAATTTAAGTTTGCTAATACTGAAACTTCTGGAACGCAAAACTTAGGTACTAATTCTTAGAATCTTACAGCAACTAATCTTAAGTTTTAAATAAATAAGCTTCAGTTCATTCACATGTCCTGGTCGAAGCAGAAGACTAGTGCAATGACTCTGCTTGCCGTTCATCAAATTCCCCTATTAGCCTCTTAATATGAGACAGCTTGTTGTGGAGATATTCGCATCTATACTTCTCTTCATAGTAGTTGGGGCTACACTGTGAGGAGAACATAAGAAGAAAATTAGGGCATGAAAACATTTCTGCAGTGTTCAATATTTCATGTCTCTTGCTTAAAAATAGCCTTCAGCCAACCTCAGTGATTACTGAGTGATTACCACAAATCTGGTGTACACATACATCTTTTATCTTCCGATACTCTTCTAAGACTTCCTCATGAAGCATCTTCAAGAAAAAAAAAACATGAAGACAATATGAATAACATCACTTCTACCAGAAAACACAAAATTATGTAAAACACTGAAAATACACTCAGTTTTACTCAAGATATTTTCTTATCCATGAGCCACCATGCTCCTGCATTGCAAAAATAAACCTCCAACCGCTGTATCACCCAAAATCTGCAGTTAAGCCTGTTAACAGGCAACAAAGGGAGTATGTGTTTGAAGATTCCCCTGAGAAGTCGCTCATGCTGCTGTGCGTTCACAGGCAGCTCAAACAGGTGGAGCTTAAGGGCTGAACAACTTTTTGCAGGGTTTTGCCAAGCTTCAAAAATCAGAGCTAGCTCATGCTGGGTCTGAGCAGGTATGCAAATTCTGCAAGGTTTCCCTTTGTCTGATTGAGCAGTACCAGGGATTTTAAAATACTCCTTCTGCTCACAAATACATTTGCAATCTGGCCAAAAACCAAAAGCCAACCAAAAATCCTCAGCGTGGCCATAGAATTAAAGAACTCTGATACTGAACACGTATTTAGGACGAGAGGAAATGGCCTCAAGTTGTGCCAGGAGAGGTTTAGATTGGATATTAGGAAAAATTTCTTCACTGAAAGAGTGGTCAAGCATTGGCACAGGCTGCCCAGGGAGGTGGTGGAGTCACCATCACTGGAGGTGTTCAAGAAACATGTAGACGTGGTACTTCAGGACACGGTTTAGTGGGCATGGTGGTGTTGGACTTGATGATCTTAAAGGTCTTTTCCAACCTTCATGATTCTGTGATTCTATGTAGAATTTGTACACCCAAATCTGAAAATTCCAGGCTGGAAAGCCAGAATATCAGGTTTTTAACACCCTTCTCTTCTAAAATCATAGTGAGGATCAGCCACCTGGAAGATGAGTAGGTTGTGGCTGTAGGTCTGGTTAAGTGTATATAATCATGGGAAATAAAGAGTCAGGAAAGCTTTGGGATTACAGCTGCTGGTTTCCACGCTCATCCAATCTTCTCCCCTATCTGTGTGAACAGCACCCCCTCACCTCACCAGGATGCTGAGGGTGGTCAGCAAAGCCTGAGATAGTCTGCTAATTCCAGCTATGAAGCTGGTTGCTCGGTCTTATGTGCTGAACCTGGCAAGCTTTTTAAAACCACATCAATATAATTTAATAGATAAATATACTGAAGAGTCTGCCTGTGCTGAAAATGCGGACTTTTGGAGGGAGATGAAACACAATCTTCACAGTTTCATCCTTCTTTACCTGATATTCTGCAGACCCTGGAGAAAGAAGCTTCCGTTGTGCATCAAGCTTTATGAATGTCCTGGTGACACTCTCTATCCGAGCATGCAAGTTCCTGTATTCACCATACTCTGCATTAAAGTCATCCTTGTAACTCTGGCGTTGTTCATATGAGACTATAGGTACGTATTTTCTAATGGAAAAATAAGCACACATGCAATTTTATACCAAGGACATTCTAGAGTGAATATCAAGCGCAGACACTCAAGCTTTAAGTTAGTTAACTACGTGACTGACTTTGCTTCTACATGTAAGCACATGTGCTTCAAGAGAATAGATTTAGGTAATCACAGGAATCTACCGTATTTTTGTGACTGTTACTTACTAATATTCTACTTTTCAGAGTTCTTATTCAGAAGCTGCACAAAAAAAGGGCATACTTAGAAAACACTAGCAATCATTTGCCTATAGAAGGACCAATAAACACATCAGCTTCAGTGAGAGATGAGAAACTTTCTATGAAGAGACAGGTTAATTCAGTTATATTTACTTTTTAAAATTAATTTTCATTACATTTTAGGAAGGGACTACATTTATGGAGTTGGATGCAGTTTAGTTTTTTGGCTGCATTTGTGCCTATCTAATAGCAAAGCATAGTTATCGGTAGATTGGATTATTTTGGTGAACACCAGTTCCATTGTCCATTCAACTAAGGCAGTTGCAATACAGTGACAAAAGCAAACTGCAGAGATGTCTGAAACTAAAAACAGCCCATCACGTCACCTCTGAAGGAGGGCAAAACCCATAAATGCTTGAAGCCACTGATGCAATTGAAACTTTTTTCATTCCCCTCTCCCTCAAATCAACATGATTGGATTTAACAAGCTGATTATACAAGTCCAAGATAAAGCAGCAATGGGAGTAACAGATACCATTTCCCACAGTTGTCACACCAATACTTCTGGTCCTCCTAGTCTAAAGACCTGGTTCTCTTTGGATGACACAGGCGCCTCCACATGGGGACAAACCCTTCAAACCAGCCTTAGATTAATTTTAACAAGCAGTAAAAACTTAACAAGTTGAAAGTCTGTAACAACACAGAAGACAACTTTTGTCAGTGATGTACGCCAGGCCAGATGCACCCAATTAGAGTGCTAGATGCCCTGCAACATGTTGACAGTTACCTGTGCAGCAATAGTGTGGAGTACCAGCTTATGCAATCACATCCCACAGCAAGAGTCCTAGCACAGGGCAAGAGCCCAGCAAAGCACTCGCAACGTAAGTGTGTGGAGAGGGAAGAAATGAGAGTAGAAGCGAGGAGAAAGGTGAGTCTGTTTTAGCTTTCTAGCTTTTCCTTAAACTTTGCTTAAAAAGCTTGAGTTCCTTTACTCTCATAATCTTTATATTAAGATGGAAAGTACCTTTATTTGACAGCTGTGATTATACTCATGAATTACATTGCACTTGGGAGACAGGAAGAGAAGCTGAAATAAACCATCAAAGTCCTTTAAACTGGATCAAATTGCAGGTGCTCTCAGATTTCAATCTTTCTGTAATGATCCGGCAGATGTCTGAAACTGCACAACCTGATTTTTTTCCAGGACAGCATGGCCATTAGATTATCTGTGAGATTGTTCCAGAGGTTGTTTCTTTCACAGAGGATTCTTCATTAAAGTTCTTACTCTCAATCAGAACTAAACTAACTTGATGAAATCTTGTATGAAGGCTTTTGTTTTGGTCTTTTTTGTTCGTGCGTTTTTTTGTTTGTTTTTTTAACTTCTAGCAATGGCTAGTGGCATCTGACTTTAATACTAGATTACATCAAATAACCATATACCTTACTTCTCAGTATCTCTCAGTTTCTTCTGCTTGATCTTTAAGACCTCACTTCTTCTGCTTCAGAAGCAGACAGTGAAGAGCTGAAACTGCCTGTTTTCACCCAGCAGAGGTTGGGAATTAAAGGTAGGTTTGAGTTCTCAGCCTAATATGCGAAGCACTAAACTGCTTCCCTGCAGGGCCAGACTCACTTTCAGTCTTTCCATGGAGCACCACTTACTGTATTAAATATGATGCAGGGCGCTACCATGCCATCTGCTTCAATGCAGACAGAAGATGCACCAGAGCTGAAGTGCTGCGGAGAGGCCGGACCTCCATTCCTGACATTACTCCTCTGACAGAAGTTGGTGAACCTGGCAATTCACAGTGTGTTAACCAACTTCTCCCTCCTCTCCTGCACTGCAGATACAACAAGGGGGCTCAGTGCCACAGGTGTGGGCTGACACTACACAATTACACTGCTAGGAAGTCTCAGGTTCACCCTGGCTGTACCTATTGTGGTGCTCATTTCAGCTCCGAGCATCAAAGGGCCATGAAGATCTCCTCAAATTCACTCCTCCAACTGAGGAAGGAGTTTTATGTTGCTCCCCACTGTGCCATCCCCGCACAAAAATAAGCATTTTATTACAAATTCAGGTTGTGCTGACCAAGCTATTCCAGTTTTTCCACTGCAGCCTCCTTTGACTTCCACATTTTTAAAAAAAGGCCACCAATAAAACAGTGGGGAAAAAGCCCAGACACTGGGCATTTGCAGAAGCAGTTTCCAGAAATCCTCCTGATAGAAAATTTTTAATATTCTAAGAAAGTATTTAGGCAGCCAAACGATTCTGTTATTACAGCTGTTTTATTGTAAAGCAAGTTCTTTAGTATTTGTCACAGATGAAAAACTATTTTATATAGCATGTAAATTTTAACTATTGGGCATGTTAATCTGACGTGTGACAACTTGTTAAGGAGCTAAAATTTAAACTTTTATATAAAATTAAACTGTAATTTTATACACTGCAATATGCCAATCATTGTAGATAATGTAACATTTCACATGCAGGTTTAATGCATTTTTATCTTGCTTTATAGTTAAAATTAAGCAGCTAAAATTTAAAACTTGAATTGAGGTTTTTCTATTTTCTCTAGCTCTTTGGTCTGCAATTGGATGAAATTGGATATTTTGCTGTAGTCTCAAGTTAGCGGCCATTTTACATCAAAGCTTTAGAAATAACTTTGATTGTTAACTCCTGTTAGCTGACATACAGGTTTTGTAATGCTGGACTTTAAAGTCTGCTATCTTCCCTCTCCACCTTTCCAGCTTAGATGCACTCAGCAATGAAAACATAGGAAAGATGTTCAAATTGCGTATTCAGTATTTGAGTATCCAGCTTTCCTCCTGTATTGCCTCACCTCTGAAGAGAAGAGTGCACATTCATATTCTTTTTTTATTTTGTTCTTGAAGAATAATGAAATAAAATGTTTTAAGTCTTCTTCTAAACTATATTAAAAATTCTTTTTAACACTTCTTTTCCCCCTCAGTAATCAAGGGACAACCTCAAAGTTTAAAACTTCCGAGTACTCAAATAAGGCAGCTGGGTAACTTAAAGGAACTTGTAACTCTTCTAAAATTGCATTTTGCTAAGTTTTCCATTGTGTAGCTAATGACAGTTTTTATAGGTGATTTTTCAACAGTTTAAATGACTGGCAAGAGACTCTTAATCATTATTTTACTCACACAATGTAGTCTGGTGGTTCACTTGATGAAGAAGGATCTGTGGAGGCAGTGCAAGTTTCTTTAACTCCTACAGAAAAGCAGAATTTTGACACTTGTAATAAACAGAATTTTAATATAGCCAAACAACACCAACTTGATGGGCTTGAAAAATTCCTTTAGAGTTTTATTCTCACTGTAAGTTCCTTATAGAGCTTATTCTAAGTTAATAATAGGGCTCACACAACCTTCTCCACAGTAGGCAGTACCGGGGTTTAGAAAGAGGGAATGGCTCCTTTATTCTACAGATGCTATGCTACTGCAGTATTAACCTGAGGTCAGTTTTTCTTATTTGATGACATGATGTAGCATCTGCACAGCAATGCAAGTTACACAGCAACTTATGTAGCTGCACAAAACAAGACAGCTTTATATATCTATACAAATATAGAGATAATATTTCAACATCCAGGTTCCAGTGAGAACTAGAGTAGAAAGCTGAAGTTCTTTTCACGGCATGAAAAAAACCCTGCCAATTACAGATATCCAAAGTTAGATTTAATTTCACTGCTCTTCTAAGCGGGAAAGTCAATAGCATTGTATACGGGTTACTGGCATTCAGGCTTCAATAACCTGCAACAAAGACTTGCTCCTCATTAATGTGGCAATACTGGGTTTGAAAGTTATTTGCACTTGTAAATTGCTCTTTTGCTCTTTTAAATTGCATTATGAAAGCACAGTACACTTAATCTCTAATCCCTCTTTTTAAAGGGATATTTCAAGACCCACCTACCTTTTTGATAAATAAGAAAAATAGCCACCGTAAAGAAGAGTTATGTGGAACACTAGGTATCTTGGTCATCTCTCTCTGCTTTTTAATTTTGGGTTTTGTGGCAAGCTTAGAAAACACACAATCCTTTATATTCATTATCTTATATTGCCACTGTTTAAACACATTTCTACTAAAGCTCAGCCACTCTTGCCAATCTCTAAGCTATCTGAGCTTTAAGTCATGGGGAGAGAAAAAGAGCAATCGTGCCATATTCTACTCAATTCTTTTGCTTTTATTATTAAAATTATTACATAGTATAGCAGGAGTATAAAAAGTGTAAAAATGGGAACAAAATCTGAGAGAAATGCAAACAGTAATATTCATAGTCACAGTATGTCACATAGACCTTATGTGAACAGTTCTGCTGCAAGCATTTAATTAAAAAAAAAAAAATCAAGTTCATTTGAAAGCTACAATTTAAGCACCAACTTGAAACACAGTACAGATTTTTACTTCCCTAGCTGTTAAAAATTTTGTTACTGGCTTCTGGAGAAAGATGCTCACATTTACAAATTCAAGCATGAGTATTTTCAAAGCAGTCCCAAGCCATTTGGACACTGTGTAGCATGTCCAGGGTAAACATGAAAAGACCATCTCCAAAGCACCCTTATCCACAAGCGCACCACCACTTCAAAGAAACACCCTGCATACTCTAAAGATGCCTCCAGGCTGTGATAGGAAAGGGCTAAACCTGACTTCTAATTTGCGAATCAAACCTCTGAAATCAGACAACACACAGATTTAACAAAGGAACTGAACTCTGCCCTATTTAGTCTGTGTGTTTTAAAAAATCAACTATTCTTTGTGTGTTTCTGTTTAGCTTTTCAATACCATTTTAAGTATGTACCATTTCTACGTTTTCTGAAGCCGTAAATTCTGCAGCTAAGATAGAGAGCAGCTTACAGCACAGTTCAAACCAAAATTCTAATAAATCACATGCCAGTTTATATAAGTTTTAGACTTTCCATGAAAAGGCAGACTTTGATGAACCTTGCATTGTGATCGATGATGAAATACATTCATGTCTGATCTATGTGTTTCAGTAAACTAGAATACAGTAAGTACGTGTGACAGGTTTTTATTTTGGGAGTGCAGACTTTACGATTTGCTGATGAAAAAAGCAAATCATTAGAACAAAGAAATCTTAAATGGATTGCTGTTGGGTAGAAACTGGTTACAAGGAAGAGCTAGGTACTAGAAAAACACAGGGAATAGGTTTGGGTTTTTTTGCTTGATTTCCAGTAAACTGTCAGTTTACTGAAACTTCATGACCAAAAAGTAGGGATAATGGCAAGGCACTTAATATATAGCAAGTGAAAAAACAGACGATTTGCATTTCCAATCCCTGGTTTTACTGGTCTCTTATCACCAGTGTTACCCATATAATAGTGAAGAAATGCAGGGTATTAATACCTTCACCTGAGTCCAACTGGGAGGGTTTTTTCATGTTGGCACTTTCTTCTTTTCTAAGGTCTCTGTTCGCCTTGTTTGCACTAGTAGTGTCTGGCATTTTGCTTTTATACTTCTTGTGCTCTTTCACCCTTGTGGGCTTTTGGTGCAACACCACATGCTTCTTGCCTGTGGGCTTGGGAGGCTTCACCTGCACCGCGGCAGGCACTGGGATTCCCAAAGGAGTCTGAGAGGTATATTTCTGTTGCTGGTTCTTACAGATGCTACTGCTATTTTGACTAAGGCAGTCCACTGGCAGGTCTTGTGTCCCCTGTCCCTCAGGGGTGCTGGGAGACTTGGAGATGGCAGTTTGAGGAGGGTTGGAAGTAGGAGGGAGTGTGGGAGGCAGCGGCAGAGAACCGGGAGTAGCAGTGGCTGCAGGGCGGGGAGGCAGCGGAGGGGCATCAGCAGCTTTGTTGCTGGAGGAAGGCAAGCAGCCACTGAAAGATGGCTGGGCTCGACTTTTCACGTGAGATATCCTTTGCTTTTTGCTCAGGGGAATGATAAAATTGGAATTCCAAAGGCGTTTCTGTAATAATAATAAAAAAATATTAAAAACATGATCAGAATTAAGTTTTGCTCCCATTCTGAAAAGAAGCACTTCTGAACAGGCAATTGTTGAAAACACATCTTTCTTATCTAAAAATAGCTGTGAAACAAGGAAGTACTGCAGCTAAATTGATAGTTTATTTCATTCTTAGTTTCTAATCTTATGATTTAGCAAGTTGTTCTTCAAATCTACAGCTAAAAGGCTTTGAGAGAAAGATGCTCTCTCCAGCAGTTGTATGAAAGGCTTCATCAAAATGAGGCATTGGCACAGGCTGCCCAGGGAGGTGGTGGAGTCACCATCACTGGAAGTGTTCAAAAAACGTGTGGACGCAGCACTCTGGGACATGGTTTAGTGGACATGGTGGTGTTGGGTTGATGGTTGGACTTGATGACCTTAAAGGTCTTTTCCAACCTTAATGATTCTGTGATTCTGTGAGGAGGTCAGGTCGGTATTGTTTAGGTACCAATTTCAGTTCAGACACACTGGATTAAAAGCCAGCTTCTAGGTGTCAGTGCCACACGATTTACGAAAGCAGCCCTAAGAAGCATGCAGCAGCGTGCTTATCAGAGTGCATGAAGTACAAAGCCGCTAAGAATAGGTAAAACTCCTACTTTTGCTACAGTTGTGGTTCCAGCTGTTCTCCAGCTGAAACGCTGGTTCACATCCTCTCGCCTATCAACCATACAGTGCTCACGTTGATGTACAAGCAGCAGCTTGGACCAGGATTGCCAGGCACAGCTCTGTGCCACTCTGTTGAAATAAATCCAGACTCCGTGTGTATGGAGGCAGGTGTAAAGGGGTCCCTGGGACCCGCACCACTTCATGTTCCAACTGGAAGAAAGCTAGGGAAAAATAGACATGTGTCCTCCCGCCTATATTTAAACGTCGGTATCTCAGTGGTGAAAGACTTCCTGTAGTTCTCATCTTACTGCTGCACACTGCATGCACTGAAGGGCAGTTTTAGTCACAGAAAGTATCAAACTTTCCCTAAAAGTAATGCCTTTTATGTGAAGTTTTCCAAGCTTCTTCTAAAAGGGTTTGCATTGTTCCCTTGTATTGACAGGAAAATAGGACATATGCATTTTAAGTCTGAAAAAGCTGGGGTAAGGCTGATGTACTACCTGCCGATTCAGATCTGCCTTTTCACACCTGGCCTACCCTGAATCAAAATGGGTGTTTAAATGATGCCTATAGGGAAAAAAAAAATTCTTCCAAGCTGATCACTACTGTAATTTGTCCTTATTCTAGGCTTTCCTAAGCTTTACATTTAAACAGTAGCAGAAGGATATTGGTGCATATTTTATGTATTATAACTACCATATCATAAAGAACTTTGAACACATGCAATCGTCTAACAAAAATTTATACATACCTTGTCTTTGGAAGACCTTCCTACACACCAAGATGAACAAGTTATGTGGCAATACAAAACAGTTTTAAGTACTTAACCGGAAAGTACAGGTTTGTGTAACAACACTGGGCAATGAAGAAGTTCAGTAGGCAAGTTTGAACTCTACAGGTGAGTTCAGGTTTCTGCAAGGTCAGTGTGCTATGGATGGACAGTTACAATTCAGGCCAATGTGTTGGCTCTTCAAAGACAACAGGGGTAGTCAGAGATCTAGGTGTATTTACAAAATACTGTGTAGACAGGAATTGTGTATTTTTCCGAATATTTTAATAAATGTTTGGAAATACAGAACACTAAATACAGCAGCCCTTAAAGCTACATGACCCTAAGTTTTTTGCAGTTTTGATAGTGCACCTATCTTTAAAATAATGTAATAATTCAATTAGAAAGAAATGCTTCAGTTTTTCATGTCTTAAAGACAATATTAGTGCTTCACATCACAGCTTTTACACCAATATAAAGTGTGATAAATTTTAATACACTGTAAATGTTTAAAAAAAATATAAAATACCTGAGAAGTTGATGGAGCATCTTTATTAGAAGATTCCAAATGGCTGGTGCTGGTGGCATTCTGAGATGAATTTAATTTTCTGTAAGGATGACCCAACATTTTAGGTTACAAGGCAAAAATGTCTATGTCATAGTTCTTTCATTATAGGGAAGACAGACATTCATTTCCCAGAAAAAAGTTTTTAAATGGCTATTTTTCTTCCCCTGAAGACTGAACTTACCCAGAAAGTACAAACTCCAATGTCTGTTTATCTATTTCATTGTATCCAGGCCAATCCTTCTGAATGTCTTTAAATATATAATCCTTCAGAGCATAAGAATTATCCTTTGGATTCAGGATGGCTACCTACAGGCAGACATTTAAGAAAATAAACATTCATTATTTCTGTAGTTCACATCTAGGTGTAAGATTAGTATTGCAAAGCTAAATCAAAGCTGAAAATGAAATCACACACCAGTTTTCCAGTTTTTTTTAGATGAGAAGATTGGTCTCATGTAATGAGCACTAATTTTAAAAAATGTGGTCAATTTGGGATGTAGAAATCTGGATGTAAGAAAATCCCAAACTGCTCCAGGCAAATATGAAATTTACTCTTATGAAAACCTCTCTCTGCACTGTGTATCTGGTTTCTTGTCTTTAATACAGCACTGAAAATCAAGGCAAGCTATGCCAAAACTTTAAATCTTCACTGCATGTTGAGAGGCCTAGTTTTTAAACTTTTATTTATTTTTCCTTTTTATGAACTGAAGAACAGTACCTCCACATACAAATTCAGATTTGTTCAACATCAGGAGGATACCTGCTGTTGTTCTGTTTTACATAGCTATACTGTGATGGCAGAGCACAGACTGTGCATGTTTTCCATCATCACATTAACAACCACAGTATGTCGTCATTTGTCTTGACCAACAGAATTGCTTTTCTTTCACAAGTGCCTGAGCCACAAGAAACGATAGCTTTCCACTGGATGTATGTGATAACCTAACTGGCACTGAACTTCTTTCAAGATTAATTATTCATCTATCCCACTAGTTTTAAGCCATATTGAAGTTCTATCGATTGAGGAAAAAAAGTAACAGTACTCATATCTAACAAGTTATATTTTGAAAACAAGATTTAGTGCTAAAACAGTTAAGGAGAGGTGTACAGGCCCAGATGCACTCTTCATGTTGCAAACATGAGGTTCATTAGAGCAAACCATTGTCATAAGAAGGTTGTGTGCATGCCTTGCTGTATACCTTTGAAAATAAAATGGGTTTATATCTTCCTTAATAAAAATACAAACTATACTGAAAAAGTTAAAATGACCTAGTAAAACCTTGAGACCATTGACAAATAAAGTGCTGGTTTAGACTTCATCACCTGACATCAATTCAGAGTTCCAGAGAAAACCTCAAAGAAAAAGTGTCCATCAATTTCCCTGACACAAAATGCTGAACAACATATCAACACATCACCACCACTTTTTGCAGCTTTGCCTATTTTTCCTCCAAAACATGATAAATACTGCTAATTTATGTTGTGCATGTCTGTCTGTGCTCAATTTAAAAAAAAAAATTAAATGTAGCAAAGATACCCTGAAATAGTAATTCACCTGTTAAAGTAATTAAAGCTGTATTCCAAGAGAAGCAAATCTGTGCACATTACATGCACAGCAAGTTAGCTTCTTCAGGAACCTTAGCAAGTTCAGGCTGCTGATTTTAGATTGGTACCAAAAATACCCTCATTATGAAGCCAAAAAAAAATGTGAGCAAGTCTTTTCAGGATCTAGTGCTGCTAACATGACCATTTCCAAATACAAACCAGTACCTTGAGGTATTCACACCACATACACGAAAAAATAAAGACGAAAGTCAAGGATAATGGGACTGAAGAAAAAAATTTTTGCACCTTTTATCCTCTAGGGAGCTAAGCTTTTGGAATTTTATAATCAACTTAAAGGATAAATCGACTACTTCAATTTGTATGTATGAACATGGCTCTCATTAAATTATGTATGTCTTCAGGGTGAAAAAACTACCATTGCACTAGGCAGATAAAGCAATCTAAGTTAAATACTTAACATATTCAAGGAATGATTTTTTTAAAATTCAGTGTAGGATCAACCAAAGCTGTATAAATGTTGAATTTTACTCACTTCAGTAGGCCCCGAAACACTTTTTTCCCTAGATAAATAGGAAATATACCTACTTTACATATTAATGCATGCATAATTCAGCCAAGGTCTGTGGGGTACAGGGAATATTTAAAAAGTAAGTGAGATGCCACTGCATCTCACAATACTTTTAAGGAGCCTTTTCTGAACTGTTTTATTAGAAAATTAATGTGACACTCTTGAGCACACAGCTTAAGTTTCACTAATAACATTATAGGCTTACCAATAATTTTAATGGATATGATAAGAAAATACAAGCGGAAGTTAACTCAAAGGAGCACTGGAAAAGCTACTGACTAAAAAAGGTTTCAAGTCAGATAAAGACACAGTACACACGATAGCAAAGAAACAACACTATGCTCAAAATTGGGCGACCACCTTTTTAATTTATGATTTGGCTGGAACACCTTTCCCTGGCTTGCAATTCTAACAGATCCCAGGAGAAGCCAAGTACCATTTACAGGCCACCAAATACATTCAAATGAAATACTAACCTATGTGATTACTGAACTTCTCATAAACTCATCACAAGAAATAATAAGTACTATGACAAACTATTCCATACAATCAAGGGCACACATGGACAGCTTCTCTCAGTTAAGCAGTCCTAGAAATAGTTAATTATTGCCTTCCATTCTGGCAAAACAAAAACACTCCCCAAAATTTTTTTAATATTTCTTTCCTTTCCTCACATTGACTTGCAGTTTGGGGCATCTGTATAAAGTTGACTGAAAAACTTAAACAAGGAGCATTATGGAAGTTGTTTATTATTTTCTAGTTTAAATACAGGAGTAACACACCTCAAAATTATGATTAAAAGAATAGCAGGATGGAAAAAATGCTGCACAAACCCCATGATCTCACCTGTTGAAGGATAGTTCCAAGGGAATTCTTGTCCTTTTGGTTGACACCATCTCTCTGCAAGCGAGCAAGTAACTCTGGTTTCTTGTAATTCTTCAGTGCCAGTAAGTGAATCACCCTGTCCCTGTACGGTCGCTGAGAAACAGCATTGTGCGTCTGAGTCCTCCGTATTACACTTGCAGGGTTCATGGGTGTTGACCTCTTCCTCTCGGGCGCAGCATCTGTAATGTTTTGTGGTGGTCTTCTGACCTGTACTCTTCTTCCTAAAGTAAGGGTGAAAAAAAAAAAAAGAAAAAAAGTGTGACATGAGAGGTTGGGAGAAGACAAGAAAGTTGATTTAAAAGAATTTATTAAGCTGGATAAACTCTAAAAACTGTATTTAGTTACCATTTCAAGATCTATAACAATATACAGGTAGTAAAGATGCATCGAGCTAGGCATTAACAAAGAAATATTCAATATCAACAAAAGCTGGTAAATGAGCGATACCAGAGGAAGACTTTACCGATTACTTATCTAGATGGTGCTTTTATTATTTTTCCAATTTGTAAGCTCCAGCACTGAATACCCAAAATCAGGCATTTTATGTAGAAGAATACTCTAAAATGTGATGCAAAGATCTTCCATGTAATAGAAAGATTCCCCAATAATGCCTAGGGAAACCAAGTCTACACAATTAATTGCACCACTGCTTAAAGAAACTACAAACACTTGTGTTAATCACTTGAGTTACCATAAGTTACACCACATTTTAAAATGAAATGTTCCCCTCATTAGAAAAGTCCAAGTCTGTCAGAAGCAATACACCAAAAATTTAACTGTTCTTGGGACCAAGGCCAGAGAAGTTTTAAAACATAGCCTGCACAGCATTTTGGATCAAATTCTATAAAAACATGTTTCTCAACTGGAGGAACAATGCAGTGTTTGCAAGCCATGCATCCAGAATTTAAAAATAACACCACCCAAGCTGAATCTCAATTTTCTAGGAGAAAGACCCTGTGTTTTTAAATACCACTTCCCATCAGACAGAAAAAAAGTTTTATCAATATATTACAGAAAATCATTGTGATAAATATTGTTTGCGATCCAACAGAGGATGTGACAAACTAGGCATTTTTCTGAAACCAGCTACTCATGTTTGGCACATGAGTAAGACTTAATGAGTATTGGTGAGAACACCTGGAGCTTGCTCCCTCCTATCAGACATAGAGAGACGGAGCTGTGCTTAGGTACTGCTCATCCTCGGGAAAAGCAAAAACTTGTTTCCATTTTGCAGTGGCGGCCAAACCTTTATAACCTTTCTACCCTGCATGTTCCCTGGACTTTACCCTTCTGGTTTTCAAGAACAAACCTAATCATGCAAAACACACACAGTTACATTTTTAGAACAGTATGAACTTGCCAGTTTATTGAATGCATTACAAACATTTTGACAAGTTAAACTCAACGTAGACACACAAATCCCCAGCGTAGCAGATAGTGCAAGCAGCATTCAAACAAAACGCCTCCTAAAGTCATGTCTCTGAATCACTTTAAAAAAATTAACTGAAAGCATAACCAAGATTAACAACCCCAGCTCCTAACGTGTACTGCATGAAGCTTGTTGCAAAGTCACCCGCATGCCCTACCAGCAACTAGACCTGTCCTACCTGAGCTTCGTCAATGCCAGTCTGAAACAAAAGTATCCCCAAGCACCGTAACTGTCCCACTGCCAGTCTTGAGACCCCATTTATTCAAAATTAAATATTCACTTAAGATCTATTTAAACCACCACCAAGAATCACGCAGATCAATCACACGTAAAATAGAACTTCTACAATGAGAAGTTTTGAAATAGATGAAAGTGGCTCCTTTCACGTTGCCATTGAAGAGCAGTTTTGACAATATGAGGGAGGCAGTCCCAACTCAATGTCCTGACATTAACCCGTGCCCAGCTCCCTTAGTGTCAAGGACACACACTCTCAGTTTTGTATCTCCAAAAAGCCATGACGACGCTGGCTTAAAATGCTCTGCAGTAAGTTGATCCAGAGCAAGCGTTGCACCATCACTGTCTGGGACATCCGTGCTGGTGGAGGACTGCAGCCAAAGCCAAGTGAAAGCCTGTTTTACTTAATGAAGACGGATGTAGCTGGGTCAGCTTGCTGCTGCCTGTACCACTGAGTGCCCATAAGGTGGATGCTCACCTTGCATCTATCTGCGGCCAGCTCCAGGCTCCTCGGGGAGATGGTACTCAGAACATCTTAATAATGAATGATACCGCCTAAACGCTTTTTGTTTTGTGGAAAATAATGAAATCCCTGGGAAGATGCCAACATTACCTTCCTTTAATGTTTTGTTTTTTTTCTAAAACACCCCATGGTCTTGTGGTAAGAGTTCCTTATTAATGACCAAGACATAAAAGAAATAAAATTTAATCAGCATTAGCAAGTGTGAAAAGCAAAGTTTTTCATACTAAATTTATCAGTTTGTACATGAGACTTCCTCAGTGTTTATTTTTTTTTTTAAAACAAATTAAGGTTAATGGCTTAGCACAGTACTTAGGTACTCAAAAGTGCTGTTATGAAAACAAAACATTAGCTACTTAACCAGAGAATTTAAGTGCATGGGGTGGTGAAAACCCTCACCTCAACAGTCCAAATTTCAACCAGTCAAGCAATATGGGAACAAGGAAGGACTGGCAGGCTTTCTTGGGGGGAAAAAAGACTAATGTTTTAATGCAGCAACAGGATACTGCAAATCTGTAACATGAGGGCACGCTACCTATACCCGAGACCTCTGAACACACCACCTTTCCCAAGAATATGCTGAAAAGATGAATCACTGAATTTGCAAACTTAGACATCTATTAAAAAACGAAATACAACCATACCTAAAAATGGTCCACCAGGTTTAATAAACTTTGCACTTCGATTGCGCGACTCCTCTTCTGCCTGGGTCACGCGCTCTCTGGTCGTCTGATAGGAATCGCTTGTTGCACATACTGTAATTTTACTCTGTATAAATCCCAGGCAATTGAGTTGTGAGTCTCCAGAACTATAAAAACATTGAAAAAGGTTGAGCCCAAGCACTAGTTCAGATTTAGAAGTATGGTTGTATCAGGAACTTTAAAACCTGTCTTAACAGGTGAAGAAAAATGTTTTCCAACTCTGACAGCTAGCTAGGGCGTAAATATATGTCAAATTGTCTCTATGCATCCAAATTGTATCAGTTTTACCTGCCAGTGTAATTACAATTTCCTCACATAACCGTATCTCAGAGGCAGACTCAGGGCTGTGCCGGTAAGCGCTGCAATGACAATTAGAGGGACAACTTGGGCAGCTACAGTGGCACCCCGATGGCAGGTCCTGCCCCGGAGGCTTTCCCCAGCACTCAGCTCAGCCCATGTTTCCTCTCCTCCGCCCGGAGCAGTCCATGGTGGCCCCAGGCCCGGCGAGGCCGAGGGAGGGCACGCCAGCCTCCCTTCGAGGTCTGTGTGCGGCCTCTGCCCCCCATCGCCCCTCATCTGGCTTTCAAAGATGTCCGCCCTCCTCGTCGGCCGTTCTGTGCATTTGACAGCGCTGAGGAGCGCTTGCGCTTCACCCGCCTGCTTCTCTGAGGATTCATGTTCGAGAAGAGGCACTCCGAGCAAACCCCGCACGAGGGGAAGGACGGCGAGGTCTCTTCAATAGCACCGGGGCGGCCATTGGTTCTTCAGGAGGCGTTTCTGGAGGGGCCTGGCCCTCCATGGTCGGTCCAGACACGCTCCTGCAGTGCGCCGCGCCCAGCCAGGAGGGCACCTCGACTGGCTAACAGTGGCTTCGTTTAAACTGGCCTAACTATCACCGCTCTTAATGAGTACCCTGTATGGCACCCACCATGCAACAGCTCTGACCAGAGAGGGCACCAGCTTTAGCCAACCCGAAACACTTTAACCACCCTAGAAGTTTCCATTAAGGCTCCAAAGAAAAAGGTTCAAGAACCTCGTGTCTCAACGTAACTACATCATTTCTGAAAGTCACAAAGCTGGACCAAGCCACTGATAAATATTTCAAGATGATACAGCTACTGTTTCGTCCACAGCCTAGAGCTACGTACTGATTCCTTGCCCTGAAATCAGCACACTTACAACAAAAAAAAAAGGTCCTTCTTGCCACCTAAAAGCACAGCTTTTACCCATTGCCCACTTCCTTGAATGTCACTACCTTGATGCATTTTTTCACCACAGGAGCAGCCAAGGATTGACTGAGACGCTGCACAATCCCCCCCTCAGGCTGGGCATTTTTAAAATCCAAGCCCCTTCTGAAGCTGCCTTGAGCACAAAATTAGAGTAGATACCCTGCAGAGGTCCTTGCTGGTTTTATTTTTTTCCAACAACGCTACACAAGTCTTGCATTAACTTTGCAGGCACTTTGCACAAACCAAGAGCTGGCTACAAAGAACCTCGCGAAACCTAGTGTGAAACAGATTTTGAAGGAGATTAGTAAAACCACATTAAAACTACCTAGGCACGTTATTCAGAATTATTCAGAGCTAAAGCAGCTTAAGTTTAATCTTACTTATCAAATTAATGCAGTTTAGTTTAACTGAAGGTGCTCATTCCCAAAGACCATAGTGCCCTCAGAGATGCTCGGGAGAGGCAAGCCAGGGGCGGGGGCAGGACCGCTCCCCGCCAGCAAGCACTCCTGCTGCTCGCTTTCTGCCAGCCTCGGCAGCTGTCTGTCCCCTTTCAGATAGAGCTTAATAAAAAAACCAAACCAAACCAAAAACAACCACCAAAAAGTCACAGTGCCCCAGGGTCCCCCAGGTCTGCCACTAAACCATTCAGCTGTTTGACAACCCCATCAGGTGAGGTAACTGAAAGGCTGTACTGTAGTCAGAGACCTAACACAAGGGGAGAAACAGGAGGATGAGGATGCCGAGAGACCTCCTGTTAGGCAGACAGCTATTACATCAGCTCATTTTCTTATTGCTCCCAAAGCCTGCTATCTAGACAAATCTCTGTTTTGAAAGTGAAGGCAGAAGCTCTCCTGTGACCGAGAACCTGAGCAGCACCTTCTGGAGACATGTGTTGGTGTGCCTGTTTGTTATCAGCTTCCCAGATCAATACACAAACTCTGCCCGCCATGTCCTAGTTAATCAAATGGGACAAACAGTTATTCAACACCACTGAACTACACTGATACCAGGCTGAAGGTAATATTCTAGAAGCTGTAGCAAACTTCATGTAAAAGCACGGTATTTTCTTGCCTTTTTGGTAGACATTAACACTGTTCACTTTGACTCAAAGGTTAAGGACAAGGCACTGCTGTATTGCGTTTGGGTTCTGAAACACCATGATCATGTAATTATGGATAAGGTCTCTGATTTATGTGGTTCTTAAAATAAGACAACTATCCATCATGGCCAGCATGTTAGCACACTGCCAGCCCTAATCATATTTACATATGGTTGTAGAATGGATCTGGCCTAGCCTGGACGATGCTGAACTCCAAATGCTTTTAAAAATAGCACTGAGAGGTGAGAAAGTACTCAAAAGGTTACTTTTTTAAAAGCAAAACCAAGAATAATTCTATGCAAAAGCAAGTATTTATAATTAGCAAGAAACGATGCTATTGCTAGGAATTAATTTTCTATTGCAGCTCATCACTAGGAGCATGCTTCTGTTAAAGGTTTTCGCTATATGCTCAAAGCCACAGAATCTGCTTAAATTTGCCATGAAAGAAAACGTTAAGTAAAACTTACCTTGAGTCTGTTTGCTGGACACAGTCAAAGCTTCCCTGAGGATTATCTTTGCCAACATTTGACATGTAGAAGTTAAATGTATGCACTTCATTTGGCTGATCAACTTTGGGAATTTTAATATGCTAAAAGGGAAAAAAAAGTTTATGTAAAAACTTCAATCTACACTCCTTTGCTTGCAATTAACTAGGACCATAATTCTAAATGAGAAACTGCGTTTTGAAAGTTTTGATACGATTTCGGTCACGTCACTAAAAAGGCTGCTTTGGCACGATTCTCCCTCTGAAAGCCACGTTGGCCATGAGCCTGTTGCAGCAGTAACTGCACTGGAAGGGCTACGGTCACTCAGCCTCTAGTTCAGCACAGCATTCAAGTAGCAAGTCATCCTTTCCCATTTAGTGGAATTAATATGCACGTGCTTAACTTAAATGCAAGTGCCTGAGTATAATCAGACAGACCGAAGCTCAGCTAACAAAACAGATGACAGCAATTTGCACAGACCACACTGGACACTGCCTTGACTTTGTGATTTATTTGGTCCTAATGAAGCACACACGGGAGTCAGCTCCAAGAAGCAAAAAAAAACCAGCAACACCCAAATTACAAGAGTAAAACTTCTTAAACTCTAGAAGATTAATTTCAACTCCAACAGGAGCTAAAAGCCTTTTTCTTTTACTCAGCTCTAGATGCAACTATTTGCGTAAATGTGAAATGTAAACAGTTTTCTGTAAGTTTAGTCAGACGTAACAAAACATGATTTCTTTGGCTGAACTAATCATTTAGTACAGAATGTGCCGCATTCTGCTGGAGCTTAAAAATGTAAATACGAGAAATCATGAAAATGTTTATTGGCATAAGCACATTTTTCAGTGTGCTGCTAAGCAAAACAATACTGAAGCACAAGAAAAACCTACTGCCACACAACTACTTTATTCTGAAGGTAAACTTAGCTTGCAGTAAATCTAAAAAGCTGTTCTTCTGAAATTTGTGTTCTTCTGAAATTTGCTTGAATTTTTAATGGAATATTAAATGCAACTGACAAAGATATGTAAAAGCAATATTCAATGGTCTCTTGGAAATCTTTCTCTCAATATTTTGCTTGCAAGAGTGGCCAGTCTTCATAAATGCCAAATGTCATTTGTGTTACTACAAAACAACTGCATTACCATTTATATTTTAACCATCAGTAGTGGCAGAGCTTATCAACAGCTTGGGGCAGTGACTGGACATGAAGAAGAAAAACAAGTCACCTGAACACCATATTCTTTTACTTACACTTAAAGGACTAGCGTGCTTTAAAGAGCAATCTGTGCATTTTATCTAAGAATGGAAATAAATCAGGCAAGGTACAAATGTGTAATCTTGGATTATATACACAGCTTTACCTTTTAGTGATTATGAAGGTTACTATAGAGTAACCATCAACCTAAGATGACCATAGGGGCCCAAATGACACTAAAATCCATCTACATTCTATACAGCTAACTATCACTGATTCAATGTTTCACCATACTGGTTTTATCATGAATACAGCAGGTGCGTATGTATGAATTTGACAATTTGAATTCAACCCACTGTAGAAGAGGTAATGTCTTTTAGCCTGATATACTTTTGGAAAACTAACAAATATATACTATGGCATCTAAGGCTGGCTGTGAAGAAAAATCAACTGAAGAGAGGAAAGCTGGTAAATGTTGCTCTGTATGCTTGGATTTCATTCTCAAAGCTTATTTTGAGCAAATCTTTATTTTTGGTTGATCAGCCTAAAGAATGTACATGCATGAAATCACCTTAAACATTAGGAACTTCTGTACCCTAATATTTATATTTAAAATTCTGGAAGAATTGCCATGGGTATTAAACCATAGAGTGGCTCAGCACGTTTGATCCAATAATGTGAAGACAGAAGCTGGCTTTAGAGCACATTCAGAAACATGTTTGTTGCTGTTCTGCTCTCTTCAGTGAGGTCTTCCTTCTCTCAAATACCGAAAAGCACACTGAAAGTATGGAGAAAAACAAGTTCTGCCTCCTTACAGGCAGCTGCCTATGAAGCTTATCACTGACAACGATTTCCCAGGTGCAAACTCAAATGGAAACAATTAGGCTTGCCCCCCCCTCCCCGACTCTGTGAGAAAAGACACTGATGATGTGGGAACCAGCTACTGCAACCATTTCAACAGGTTTCTTTGCATGAGTAAAGAAAAGGTCTAGAAATCTACTTTCATTCTCAAATTTCTAGCATATTTTTTTCAGAAACTTCAGAAGAACGAGGTGACCACTCCTCAGGCATTCCTTAATTTGGATGAAGACAACTCAAGAATGGTGGGGGAATGTTTCTCTGCTAGAAGACTTAAAAAATTGCAGTGTAACTAACATGAGGAAAAAAAAAAAATATCGAACTCTTTCGTCCTCCGTTCCAAAGTTTTCATATTTAATCTGTAATGCAGCAGACACAAGCCTTCCATTTTTGTAAAAGTTTTTGGACCCATTTAGAATATCCACAAAGCCAAAAGCCAAAAGCTTTGTCCCTCAAACAAGCAAATTTACTGAAGCCTGTCATCATTCAGATAACAGAGTTTAATAAACCTGGGACAAACTCTGAGAGAAAAAAAAGACAGTTTAAGTTATATTAAATGCAATTAAATCAGATAAGACTATTTCCCATATTATGGTTCAAAAGTGAAAGCCCAAACATTTATGAAACAGAAGACTAATTACTGAATCTGCAGATAATACAAAGCTGGCAGGGACAAAATGCATGAGGATGGAGTTAAAATCCAAAGCAGTCCTGAAAAACTGATGTATAATACCCTTCAAAAGAGGCTGTGCAAGGTACCTCATCTTGAGGTAAAAACCCAATGCAGGGCAGCAGCTCCACAGAAAATGATCTGCAGGTTGAAGTCGAACATCCAACCAACACAACCCCACAGTATCACACTTTTGCGATACTGGGGTGCACCAACGCGACTACAGCCACAAGAAGCAGCAGGTTGAACTGCAGGACGATGACTTGCACGCAGGAGCTACCGCTCCTCATCTGCTTTCCTGTTCACCAGAGGCTTCCACCACGTCGCACACCACTGCGTCAGGGAAGCACGACGCTTCAGCAGCCAGCTGTGCGGCGTAGACCCCAGCCCCGCTGCACTGTCCTCTGCCAGATGCCACCCACCAGCTTTGACCTGAAGAGAGTTCAAGGCTCCTTCCTTGCTTCTTTGCAAAGACAACCTCATCCCCTCACAATCAAGTCAACTTATCTTACAGAGGCACATTTTTAAAGTATGGGGTTCCTGCTTGGCATAGAAAGTATTCCTAGGATACTGACACGTTTTCAGCAACCTAGAGAAAGCAATACTTGAACCGGATAAGCTTGTCAACAACACCTAGGTTTGCAGAAACTACTGTCATCTCAAACACTTAAGATCAAGTTTTACAGCTGTTGACATATTTGCCATTTTTTTCTTTATCTCGCAAGACAAAGTAACACTTTGAAGTAGTGTATAGACTCAGCAACTTCTGCAAGCAAGCCTCGTGTTTTGAATACACAGTTCTGTTTTTACACTGTAAGTTTATATTATACAGTTCTGAAAAGCTCGATAGGCAGAGTTCAAGGATTTTTGGCTTAATCAGGATTAAGATACTGCATTCAGCTTGAGATAAGCACAGTGGCAAAAAGTTTGTTTTTCCTATTTGAGCCATACTTGCAGAAGGTGGTCAAGGAGCCTTTATTAAGAAAGTACACATTGCGAACACATTAATCCATAACAGAAAATAAACTTTTGTTTTGCATCAGGAAGCAGCACTGCAAGCCCATTGTCAGCACGTTTGTTTCAGAGAAGCTGCTTTTGATTTGTATACAACCTTCCACATATAAACAGCATCCTGGCTGGTACGTGGTGTACAATACGTTGAAAAGGAATTTGCTATTTTCTCTTACAGCAAAGAGGGAGATTTCCAAACAGCAAACACCCACCATTATTTATAGCCGATATATACCCTTCTTCCAGAAATAGTGAAGTCCTTGCCGCAATCCTTCATTAGATCTACTTTATCCTCAACCAGCAGCCAACCAAACAGGGCAATGAAAGGAGATGAGAAAGCCCTGAAGAGAAGCTGTGTGTTTGCATGGCACCTTACCCATGCTTCTGTCCCCTAACGTGGCCCAACTTCAAGTATGTTAACTAACTGGTGTGAGTTGACAAGTCCTCAGCCTATATCCTTCTCAGAATATGTACTAGCACAGGAAGGTCGGGCATCAGTTTTCTTCTCACATGCCCAAACACATCTATGCTTGCACATACTTCTTTCCCCATTTATGCGAGAAACCCGTCTCTCCACCGCCAGAAGACACATCCACATAGGCAGCTGTGCTAAGCCTTGTGCCAGCTCCCACATACGTCCCACACAACACAGGCAGCCCTCGCTGCTCTTCCCACTGCCGCCTCGCCGCTCAGCAGCCTTCAGGCAAGTGACCCAGTTTCAGCTTAACACCCAGGTCCTTAATACCTGTCTTAGCTGCTACCTTCTAGCTAAGCCCACAACTGATAGACACTAGAAGAGTATCACCACTGTGTTTCATGAGATAAGTTAACACAAATAAGTTGTGATGGACAAGGGTTTACAAAGCGGTAAATAACACCCACTCATGCCTAAAAGCCTTAGCATCCCTGCGACGCTGTCAGTACCACCCACATGTGCTTTGCCTGCATGGCCAGGAGAATGCAGGCACTGAAAGGGAAAAATCCAAGCTAAGATGCAGGTAAGCCATAGACAGGTGAACACGCAACAGTTTTCCCTACCAGGTTTGACCAAATTTTCTGCTCTGTAGTGACCAGCTGTTTGTTTCAAACCCTTCCCTTCTACATTTCCTCTCCCCTTTACTTCACAGCTGCCCTCTCACACTGTTTTACCATCTGTACCATCACCCTCCTTCTTTCCTGTTTAAGAAGAAAAAAAAAGTTTAAAACCCAATCTGTCTTTAGTGAATCCACTGATTAATAGACTTTGTCAAAGGTGATGTGTGAAAAAGGTGCTGTCAGAAGCCACTGCAGAAGAGTTATTTTTCCAATTCCAGAAATTAAGTAACTGCCTGTTTAGCCTACAGCATTTGCATTATTTTAACAGAAGC